TCTGATATGCAACATGACCTTTTCCGGTCAGTTCATGACCTTGACCTGAGGTCAAATTTTCAAGTTGACATTTCAAGGTCAAATTATTGTTCATTCGACGCGTCTCGGCGAGGGGAACACGATTCTGGCAATAGAAATGTCGTGGCTTTTTGTAGTAGAAAGTTATTCTCGAAAAACTTTTTTTCGTAAAAACAGCTATTTTGGAGTTTTTGCCCGCTGGAGGCTAAACCGTTTACCTGAGGTCAATATTTATATAACATTTTCAAAAGAAGAGTTCAAAAGCTATCGATTGCTCTTCCATGCGTTTTTCTAGCTACCATAGGTCCTGAGATAGCGGCATGTTTTCTGAAAAATATAATGACAATTGGCAAATTTTGACCTTTGATGACCTCTGGTGACCCCAATATTGCTCTAAGGTGAAAAATGACCGAAATACTTTCAAACGTACGCATTGAGAGCTATCGACTGCTTTTTACCGCGTCTTTCTAGCCCTCTTAGTTTTTGAGTTAGAGGTGGGTGGTAACATATGCCCCCCCCCCCCCACTAGGGCGAAGTTGACTGAGACCGCCACTGGGGCGCGTGTTAACCTTGACCTGAGGTCAAATTTTCAAGTTGACCTTTCAAGGTCAAATTATAGTCCATTCGACGCGTCTCGACGGGAGGAACACGATGCTGGCAAAAGTAATGTCCTGGCTCTTTTGAGTCAAAAGTACATAATGTAGTGAAGGTTTTTTTTTTTTTTTTTTTTTTTTTGTTTTGTTGTTAGTAGCTCACATTTATACTGGGTTAGTACACTATATACACGGCAGTGGTACGAATAGTTTTCGGCACCCGCTACGCGGGACAGCCTTGACCGCACGCTTCCTGTCACGCGCCCCAGGTGGCACCGCACTGGTGCGCACGCTGAGGCTATCCCGATTTCTCGGGCCCGGCAGGTCAGAGGGCTGCTCCGGGACATGAAGCGAGGCCGTGCCCTCGGGACATGTCACCGGACCGAAGGATCTGTTTTTTAAAGGCGGATCAGGCCCGTGTACCTGCGGCCGGGGGCGCTGGCTGGCACAGCGTTAATCCCCACGACCGAGCGAACACTCCCCAGTTACTGCCATCTCCTGGGTAGGAGCCGGCCGAGGAAAATGCTGCCAGAGGTCAGCTTTGATCCAAGGACCTCCCACACCAAACGTGAACGCACTTGCCAACTGCGCCACAAGGGTGGTCATAATGTAGTGAAGGTTAATCGTATATGAAGTCATGTATGGTATATGGGGCCATTCCGACCCGTTTTAGTGGTAAAAATAGGGAGCTGATTTTTCCCCCATTGACTTACAATGGGGATGTCGCGAAATTGACCTGACCTTAGGTCACCGATATCAAATTCCGAGATATACAAATTGTAGCTACTAATGACATCCTGCGACTTTCAAAGGCCTCCGACATTTACTGTAGCTCTGGCACGATGACAAAGTTGCAAAAAAGTGACTTGAGGTTGGGTCATTCAAAGTGACCTGGTGACCTGACCTTAAAAGTTAGGAGGTTCAAACTTGCACACCATGTGTAAAATTGATGAGAGAATAGTCGTACCAAATTTCTTCCCGCTATTCGCGAAAAACCTCAGGGGGGGGGGGGGGCAGATATCCGCCCCCCCCCCGTCGGTGCGCGTGTTCAGTATCGTGATTTTACGTGCCACGGCGCTTGCGTTATTTAGCTAAATTATTTCAATTTTATCCTGACCTTGTACCGGTTTTGTGACCGTTGCCTGACCTGAGATGACTGGGACTTGAAATTATCAGGGAGGTGCCAAAGAATGCCCCATTCTCCATAGGGTATGTCAGATTTGGTGGCGCTACTTATCGTAATTTTTACGCTATATGCGAAAAACCTTAGTGGGGTGCATCAACCCCTTTGGCTGAGCGAGTCTTAATGTCGGATTATTGCAGTCATGTGCTCGGGATTACTGACAATCAGTTGCGGCCCAGCTCAGGCGTGGGGTCGAACCTCTGCAGCAATCGCCGTGACGTCACCGCTGTTCGCAACTGGCTGCCGCCATGAGTGAGCTCGTATACCCCAGTGTGCGCTGTGTGACGGTCGAGCCAGCAGGTGAAACAATGGACCTCCCAACAAAGCCGGCCAGCTCGGGAAGCCATAGGATGTGCAGGTAAGCAGGGCGTTATTTGGTTATCTTACCTGTGTTAGATGGAGTACCAGCGTTTTAGAAATTGTCAGGGATCGGCTTATTTTGGCTACCGCTGGACTGCTTAAGCGCTGTTGATTCTACTGATATCCATGAACGTTCTATTGCCTGATTTTGTTCAGTTACTTTTAAATTATCTGACATTATTCTACATTGAAACGTAAAAAAATGACGATATCAATATTTTCGCTGCATAAGAGAATTGTTTAGATTTGGCGAACTTCGGTGAATTTGCCAGATAACCCGTCGTGAAAACGACTGACCTAATTGAACTAAGGTCGTCGATATCAAAATCCAGGGCTTGCGTTTTTAACCAGCGCCGGGCAGGGGGTTTGAACACCCCCGGCAATTTTTCGCAGGTAGGTATCTTAAAATTGGCGGCGCTCCCTCCTGTTCATGCATCTTTTCCACCTATGTTGTGAAAATTTCAGACCCAGAGCTCTCAAGGTCAGGTCACCAGGTCACGTCAAGTGACCTCACCTCAGAAAAAGTTTGAACCTTTGTCATATCTACACCGACTGAAGGATCACCTTGAAAAATTCAGCGATTGATTTGAGTAACAGTATGTGCAAAATGTTAGGGGAAGTTGGGGCAATGCCGGAGTTGGGGCAAAGCCGAAATTCGAGATATTTCGAAAACCGTACGACATGGATGCCACCTGTCAGTGATGCTCTGAAGCTTAACCCGCGCCCTGGTGGGGTCTGTTTATAACGCGACCTGGTGGAGGGGGGGGGGGCTATTTTTTGCCCCCCCCCCTCGTATCTCCGAAACTACTAGACGGATCCGCGAAATTCAAACGGCGTTCGAAAGGCCTGTCAAATTTGTCGAGGGAAACCAAATTTCATTGACCTAGGGGTCACCGATGACGTCACAGGTCAGGTCAAAGATGAAATGGTTCACCGTTCACGGGTCATCTAGGGAATGCGCTATAACACCGAAGAAAACGCATTTTGTCGAGAATCAGCGATAGGGCGTCAGTTGCCTAGTACATATGTTGCTATAAGAGGTCACTGACATTACCAGGTCAGGTCACAGGTCAGGTCACCAAGGGTCACAGGTCAGGCCACTTGAACCTAACTTTAGGTAGGTACTAAGGTTGTGCGATGCATGTTTTATGGCCAATTTTTCATTTCCAACTCAATGGTGTTGGTTATAAGACTATCAGGTACGGCTTAGGTCACTTTCTGGTGAAGGTCAGGTCAAGGTCAGGTCAAAAAAGGTCAAATTTTAAAGTTGATAGTTTTGCATAAAATGGGTATTGATTCGATGCAACTTGTCACGGGGAGTCTAATGGTAGTCTTTGTTTTGCGCTACGGGGTCTAGAATTGCTAAAAATTGAGTTTGAAAATTTGACGTCATCAATTTTGAACCGTTTTTTCGCTATAACTTCGCCAAAAAAACAGGTATCAATCTCAAATTTGTTATGTGGATAGAAGGTGGTGAGGACTATCACATATATTCCGGTTTTTGCGAAATTCAAAAAACTTTTTGGATTTTTCGGCTATTATATTTAAAAAATCTATTTTTTTATCTTTGGGGGTCAAAATCCAAAAAATTCAAAAATCCGAGATAGCAGTTTTGTAGCCCTGTCAATTCTACAGCTTTTATGTCTTATCGTTTTTCTGTATTTACAAAGCTGTAGGCCTGACAGCTCTTCCCGCGAAACCCTTTTTTGGGTCGAAAACGGCAGAACATGACGTCACTCTGACGTCATTTCCGGCCAACCTATCATAGCCTTTGGAAAAATTTTTGGTCACAATGTGTAAAATTGATGTCCGGGAGGGTACTGAAAGTTTGGTGACGATCGGCGCAGCGGTTCTGGAGATATATCGAAAAGTCTGGAGGGGGGCAAAAAATAGCCCCCCCCCACCAGGGCGCGGGTTAAGTGACTACCAATTATCGCATGTTTGTTACGAGTCGTCATTCGGAATGCCTCGGCTGTGAGGGCGCCAAGAGCGTTTTCAAGGTAAGTAAGTACCTACGTTTCCTTTGTACTACATGCGCCTTTGAAGCTGCATTTCTGACTCATCATGCTACCGTTTGTCTGGCCAATTCGGTCAAGTAATCTTCAGCACGTCTTTGCATAAGTGTGCTGCCTATTTGAAATTTATACAGCACGTTGAAAAGTTATGGGCCTGCAAATGATAGTATGGCTGGCTGGGGTAATGCCGAAAACGTGCAATTACGCGCGTTAAAGCACGCTACGTGAACTCTACTGCTGTAGAATAGCAACGCGTATTTTAAGTCACACAAATTACACTTTCAACCGACACAACCATAAGGAATGATTTACCTGGCCTTTTCTTATTATATCACACAGTTATAACTTGCAGTGTGCACCAAGCGTCCTCAAGCTCTTAAAACGCACGTCAGCTTTGATGAATTATGTTAGGTTACCAACTTGCCGTGATCTGGTGACCAACCTTGAGCGGCCTGGGTGTAAAATTTTCTCACCATGTACAAAAAAGGTGAATGACAATGTGTGGCAGCGGCGCCATTTTTGAGACACTTGCAGAAAATCACAAATGGGGGTGTCCAAAGTCCCTGCAGCCGGCGCGCGTTACACAGACGACAAATTACATACATAGCTCATTTGTAACACGACCACTGGCATAACCAGTGGTCAGGAGTGGTGGCGTTCCTCAGAAATAATTGTTAAAGGGTGTCACATACAATATGCATACCAGCAAAATCGCTGATTAAATGATGAATTCCTGGCCCACGGAAATGCTCGCATGAGCAGGTAGCGCAGCGGGTCCGTGCGAATTCTGTTATCGACCGCCATATGGTTCCCTGGCGCTGCTCGGTATCTATCAGTCGCGGTGCCTGCCTGGTGCTGATTGCCAGTCGCGGTGTCAGTCTATAGAGGCAGTAGCGGGACAGTGACCACTGACCAGTGCAGAGTGGCCTGTTCGTGACGCAACGATGGCCACCAACCTGCAAAATCTGACAGAGAAAACCGACTCAGATAGCTCGTGGATACATAAGTAAGCAAACGATTATAAAAGGCGTTTTATCTGAATTATATCCATTCACGGAATGAAGTAAATGGGTCATAAGGAAATAACTTGGCAAACCAACATACAAATCACATACGAGTCCTGAGAAGTTCCACAAGTTTGTCAACGGACTTTTTTACTTACTTATGGCACGCGTCCACCGGAATACCGAAATTGTTCGCTGATTACAATTGTACGTGTTCATTTCAGGTGCATAACTGTTCTGTTTATGGCCAGCGGGTTCTTTCTGGTGCTGCTGGTCTACGGTAGCGGGCCGTGGCAGCCAGCTAACTGGCCGCCGCTTACCGAGGTAGTCGAGCAGCAGCAGCTCGACCCGGACCGCAGCGAAGGTGAGCGCAGATATACATATGTATGTATGTACGGTTCTCCAGGGTATTAGTCGTTGGTCGCTCGGCGAGCGGGAGGGCAACCAGTTCCGCCCCTGTATCGCGTGACCCCTTGCTCCGCCCAGTTACGCACGAGCGTACTCCACGCCGCCTAGTAGCGTGGGGAGGGGAGGGTTAGAATGGTGGCATGTGTAGAGGCTAGAACCGGTTTCCACCGCCATGCCACCGCCCAGCGACATGGAGCGGGGTCAGTGACCAGGGCGCAGGGAAAGGTCAGAGGTCAGCTATAACGTAGAGCTTTGTGTCTCCCTCCCCTCCGCGTGTAACGACCGCACGACAGCGGCCGGCCGCCGATCAGGCTTGACATGTCAAGGTCACCCGCAGTCAACGGGCTCGGAGGGTTGGTCGAGTGCGCGTCCGGCATGGCTGACGACAGTCTCGACAATATGCTATGGTGCCGATAGACTAGCGTGGGTAATAAGTTTTCGTTCAGTGCATATGGCTGCTGGGGTGTGTCATCTTGATATGATGCTTTGTAACGTGTATGATACGCTTAAAACCTCGCTGGCAGTGGCCGAGAGGAGAGGGTGAGGAGGGGGGGGGGGACGGGGAGGCGGGTGCCGCCTCCACATGTTTATTTGTGTTGATAGCTGCGAGAGCTGAAATTTGGCAAGCGTGACCTTTGATTCAAGCTGAATTTTTATGACAGCAGCTGTATTTTTCCCTCGCCCATATTGGTGTTTTGCCAGCGTCTATCGTAAAGGGGGGGAGGAGGGTCCGTTTGACCCCTTTGCCGTTCAGCCCCTGATGGAGCCAGAGCTTCGCGGAAAAAGAGCGTGTCGCCCGTGACGAGAGAGGCCGATGATACCCAATTTTAAGGTCCTAGGTCATTGGTTGACAGGTCAATATAACTCAAAAGTCGGGAGAATCGGGACCTGTTAGAGCTTCGTAAAGTGAAGCTGTTATAGGGTTTTGCGGGGTGCTGATCACGAATTTCAAGTTACTTTTTATCACAGATGATGTTTTCGTGCATTTAGGCCAGGTCGGGTCAGGTCAGGTCAGGTCACATGTTACGTGGGAACCAAAACTACTTCTTAAATGTTCAAACGGTTTCTAAATGCGAAATCAACTCCAAAATCTACCTTAGAAACATGTAGAACTCGAAAGAGTGAACAAAGGTCATCAAAGGTCAGTGACCTGACTGACCTTCACGTGACCTTGATACCCACTAGAATCCATGGGATCAACATCCTTTCACATGTTTGATCGCTTAACCTTCCAGGCGGTGGGGGGGGGGCATTTTTTTGCCCCCCCCCCTTTAGTTTTTTCGATATATCTCGAGAACCGCTGCGCCGATCGTCACCAAACTTTCAGTACCCTCCCGGGATTGGCTAGCGCACATGCACGGTTCGTCGGAAGGTCATCTCAGGCTCAAAAGAAACGGTATATACCATTCGAAAGCTGACGGTGAGCTGAATCCAAAAATGTATTTTTTATCAAAATCGATCGATGGCCTTTTTTGAAAATTGCGTTTTTGTAAAAACTGTATAATTTTTTAATCAACGGCATGTCCCAGGCATTCTTGAAAAAATAAACCTGTTTTTTTTCGAGTTCCAGTGAAAGCTGATCGCCAAAAGAACAATATTTAGCGAAGCAATATTTTCTAACATTAATATACGTCTCCCACAGCCGACAATAAGGCGCAATCACACAGCTAAGTGTCACGATGGACCAAAGTCAGCCACATAGAAGCGTGAAATGACCCTTATCGACTCGCAGACCCGGCGCTCTCGGCCCGCCTGACCGGCCACGGAAAGAACGTTCGGCTCTCGTTCTACTAAACAAATGTCATATTTGTCAGTTTAACTGTCTACATCGCTATTAAAGTTATCCAGTATACCTGTGAAGAAAATTCATTGTTCTGCTTGATTAACAACATGCTTTAATTTACATTTTTCTTATACATGTTTGTTCCATCCAGCTGCGTTCAGTGCCCGCGCAGGGGAAGTGAGCGGGGTTTCACTGTCAGAGGCTGTACTGGTGACAGCTGCTCGGCCATGCGACCGGTCAAAGGTTACCCTGCCCCACCGGGCGCTACCCCCACTCCACCCGAGCTGAGGCCGGTACAACCTCTGACATTTCAGCGCGGCCAATTTTCCTTATATGGGCATGATACCAAGCTCAATTGGGCAGAGTAGACATGAACAAATGCAAATTAATGCATGATGTGAAGATGACAGAGCAATGAATCTTCTGCTCATGTATCCTGAATAACTCAAGTACTGACTTGAATCGTTAAACTAACAAATATGACGCCCGTTTAGTAGAACGACAGCCGAACCTCCTTGCCGTGGCCGGTCAGGCGGGCCGAGAGCGCCGGGTCTGCGAGTCGATAAGTGTCATTTCACGCTTCTGTGTGGCCGACTTTGGTCCATCGTGACACTGAGCTGTGTGATTGCGCCTTATTGTCGGCTGTGGGAGACGCATATTAATGTTTGGAAATATTGCTTCGCTAAATATTGTTCTTTTGGCGTTCAGCTTTCACTGGAACTCAAAAATACATGTTTATGTTTTCAAGAGTGTCCGGGACAGCCCGTTGAATAAAAAATTATAAAGTTTTTACAAAAACGCAATTTTTAAAAAAGGCCATCGATCGATTTTGATAAAAATTACATTTTTGGATTCAGCCCACCGTCAGCTTTCGAATGGTATATATCGTTTCTTTTGAGCCTGAGATGACCTTCCGACGAACCGTGCATGGTGACCAAAATTTTCCAAAGGCTATGATAGGTTGGCCGCTAATGACGTCAGTGTGACGTCATTTCTGCCATTTTTGACCCAAAAAAAGGTTTCGCGAGAAGAGCTGTCACGCCTACAGCTTTAGAGATACAGAAAAATGTTCCAGACATAAAAGGTGTAGAATTTAGAGGACTACAAAACTGCTATCTCGGATTTTTGAATTTTTTGGATTTTGACCCCTAAAAATCAAAAAATATATTTTGTGAATTTAATAGCCGAAAAATCCAATAATTTTTTTTTGAATTTCGAAAAAAACGGAATATATGTGATAGTCCCTACCGCCTTCTATCTACGTACCAAATTTGAGATCGATATCTCTTTTTTCGGCCAAGTTATAGCGAAAAAAACTGTTCAAAATTGATGACGTCAAATTTTTAAACTCAATTTTTAGCAATTCTAGACCTCGTAGCGCAAAACAAAGACCACCATTAGACTCCCCGTGACAAGCTGCATCGAATCAATACCCATTTTATGCAAAAATATCAACTTTGAAATTTGACCTTTTTTGACCTGACCTTGACCTGACCTCCACCAGAAAGTGACCTAAACCGTACCTGATGGTCTTATAATCAACACCATTGAGTTGGAAATGAAAAACTGGCCATAAAACATGCATCGCACAACCTTAGTAAAGTTGGGTTCATGTGGTGACCCTTGGTGACCTCTGGTGACCTGACCTGTGACCTGACCTGGTATGACCAGTGACCTCTAATAGCAACATATGTACTAGACAACTGACGCCCTATCGCTGATTTTCGACAAAATGCGTTTTACTCGGTGTTATAGCGCTTTCCCTAGAAGCCCCGTGAACGGTGAAACATTTTATCTTTGACCTGACCTGTGACGTCATCGGTGACCCCGAGGTCAATGAAATTTTGTTTCCTTCGACAAATTTGACAGGGCTATCGAAAGCCGTTTGAATTTTCCGGATCCGTCCAGTAGTTTTGGAGATACGGGGGGGGGGGCAAAAAAATGCCCCCCCCCCCCAACGCGCGGAAGGTGGCTGGGAGGCCCACCGCCTGCCGGGTTAAAGCCACAAAAAGACAATAAAACGCGCTCTACTCGAAATACGCCAAAACGCGATTTCGGCCAAACATGGTCTTGGAAAACAGGTCACAAGTCAAAGGTCTTTTGAGTCAGGGTCATACAAATTATAGGGTAGGCGTAATATTTATTAACTCGAGGGTACTGAAAGTTTCGTCGCAATCAGCCGCTTTTTGCGCGAGTTATTTGCGAAAAAAAACTGAGGGTAGGAGGCAGGGTTTCGGAGTCGGAGTCGGAGTCGCCCGGAGTCGTGGCAAGCAGCCAGAAGTCAGAGTCGGAGTCGGAGTCGGTCCAGCTGCCTCGACTCCGACTCCGGAAAGTTAACTGAAGTTAATCCGTGCTATCACTTTTCAGCTGTTTTTAACCAGTTTCCCCACGGCAAAATTCGCTTCTGGTGATCACAAACAAGGTATTTTTTCAAGCTGTCTTAAGCGCATTAATTCGCGATTTTATACAATCTTTGCAAGCCCCAGCATTCACTTTTCCATTCTTAAAGTTAGGCGACTTTATTCATGACGTCACTAAGGTCACAGGAGTTTTCACCAAAAAGTTCCGATCAAATTGAGCTAGCGAGTCGGGAAGCCACCAGTGGACTTGTGAGGACCTACCGAATCGAAGAAGCGATATGACCTCCTTGGGCCAGCTTCGTGGCCTGAGTGGCTCTGCCCTGACCAAGACCTGATGTGAACACCTTAAATTGACCTCAACAAAAACAAAGCGTATACTATTCGACACGCTTGAGCATGCAAAACTCGATGGTGCTATTATCTTGGCTCTGTAACCACTTATGGTGAAGTTGTTTACCAAAAAACGATCCCGCGACTTGGAGCACTTGTACTGACCTCAGCGTTTATCGGTTGACCTGAGACATTCAACTCGGGTACCAGTTGCTGTATCTCATACGACGCACGCGCTCAGTTTTATCCGCAAGGCGCTAGCTCAATTAGGGGCAAAAAGACGGAGAGGGGTCGTAATCGTCCCCCCCCCCCATCGGCCGGGGTATATGCAGAAAACCCAAAATTCCGTTGAGGGTTAAGCACTGAAGTGATATATTATGATGCGAGAAGGTATAGGTCAAAACAAGTATGCACACGAGCGGGTGTGAATAAAACTGTGTTTGAGGTATGCCTTTTTTATTATACATTCGATTTGCTTTAGTT